GGAGAGCCTTTGTCTGTGGCTGTGATTGTGATATTGTACTCCGGGGTCCTTTCCCTGTCCAGGGTGCTGTCTGTGAGAATTTTGTAATAATTATTAGAGGACCACACTATTTTAAAAGGCAAGTTGTGTTGAAGATGACAGGTGACGTCTCCATTTTCACCGGCATCTCGGTCATAGGCTTTGATCAGAGCCGCCACTGTGCCGGCTACTGAGTCTTCTGGAATGGGACTGGATATAGATGTGAACGTCACTTCCGGGACGTTGTCGTTCTCATCAAGAATTTCTATTTGAACTTTGCAATGAGCAGATTGTCCTCCCCCATCTCTGGCCTCTATACGTATTGTGTATGTATTTGTTTTCTCAAAATCCAGAATCCCCGTATTTGTAATTCTTCCATTCACAGGATCTAAATGAAATAATTTACGAGCATTTTCTTTAATGTTGCTAAAAATGTATGTGATTTGGCCATTTAACCCTTCATCCTGATCCGTGGCTTTCACCTGAACCACTAAGGAGCCATTTGGTAGATTTTCTCTCAGGCTTACTTTGTAGATCTCTTCAGTAAATTCGGGGCGATTGTCATTGGTATCAGTGACATTAATCCTAATCTGAACCGTCCCAGTTCTGACTGGATCTCCCCCATCCACAGCCGTCAGGATCAAGTGATGAGAGTTTTGCTTTTCCCGATCCAAAGATTTTTCCAAAATTAACTCAGCATATTTGTTTTCATCTGGACTCTCGTTTACTGACAGGATAAAATGCGGGTTCTTGCTGAGTTGGTAACTCTTCAGTGAGTTGACCCCAACGTCTGGATCTTGAGCAGATTCTAGTGGAAATCGCACACCAGGCAGTGCGGATTCAATAATTGCTAAATCAATGTTGTTTGTCTTGAACCGCGGGGCGTTATCATTAATGTCCTGGATTGCTACATTCACATGGAAAACATTCAGAGGATTTTCCACCACCGTTTCGAGTGTCAGGACACAAAGGGGTGTCTCCCCGCATATCTCCTCCCGGTCTATCCTGCCATTCACATACAGGTTGCCATTTCCCCCATTCACACAGAAGTATTGTTTTTCCGAATTGACACGGAGCTTTCGCTGCGGAAGCTCTCGGATACTCAACCCCAAATCGTTGGCGAGCTTCCCCACAAGGGAACCTTTGGCCATTTCCTCCGGAATCGAATAACGAATCTGCTCCGGGACCGCCCGGCAGAACAAAGAGAATAAGAAGGGAAACAACAGTACCTGCTGTCTGACTGCCCGGCCGCTCAGTCTGTGCCTGGTTTCCATCCCATGCATTTTCACGTACTCTATCTTCTTTATTCTGTACAAAAAGTGCTTATAAGTCCAGATATATGGTAAATATCCCAGGTAATGAAGAGAAAATGGATTCAATTGCTCAGGCTAATTGAACATCAGAGTGCGGAGGGAGGCTTTCTCTGAGCAGCAAGGCTGTGTGCGCGTTTCTCGGGTTGTTTTCTCTGCGATCTGCACTGTGTGATTGAGAAATCAGGCTGCAGTCGGCTGTAATGGATCTAGGCTGTAGCTCCGCACCGCATTGGCCAACAGCGGCACTCTGAGCTCAGCCGGAGAACTGCAGCACACAAAACTAATGAAGTCACCGATAGAGATCTAGACACGAGGAAAGGTATTCTAATACATTTAATATAAATGTTTTTAAATTATTCTCAATCCAATCTGTTCTAGCCTTAATTAAATTTTAAAAGGTTCCTCCAAACACCCACGGACATCTCTATAGTTTACAGTAGCACTTTCTTTATCCTTTATCAAAGTTGTTTGCTTCAAAATAAAGTGTAATTGTATTTTTATTATTATTATTGCATTTTCCTCCTAAGAGCCAGAGCCCTGATGGAAGACATGGGGATTCTGTTTATGCTTTAATTCAGGTATCATTTTGAAAATAAAATACTTATTCTTAGATTTTGTGAAGTTTATATATTATGGAGAGAGAAGATGGGTTTTGCATTCATTATTTCAAGAAATAGAGTTGTGCTTGTGACCTGGTGTGCCTGGGGTTGCCGTCACTGAAAATGCTAAGGTCAGGGCAGGCTGCAAAAGGGAGATCAGATACTCCCAAAACTGGTGGGCAACACTGAAGTTAAATTTACCAACCAGTCACAAACCATGCTTCTGATCCTCCACACTGGTTACACTGGTCTACAATTTTTGAGAAGTCGTCTGCTTCAGAGATAAAA